AACGGTATTGAGCTGCTCAGGCTGATGCATTCTCTCACTTTACTACTTCTAAAAAACATGCTTCCAGTTTTAGGCAAAGATACGGAGACTAAGAAATTTATCTTTGCATACAATAAGTTGAAGAATAGTTCATTATTTCCTAGTGTCATGCTCTAGTCTCTTCGTTTCTGCCTCTGTGCTTCCTTGTGTAACGTTTTGTTTTCATGTCTGTGCCTCTCATTGTTTCAGTGTCAAGCCCACGTCTCTGTGCTTGTCTCGTGTTTCCTGTTTTACTTTGACAGTCTCGTGTGCCGTGTTACTGTTTTCAGTTTGCTTCACCCGGTCTCGTTGTGTGTGATTACTCCCAGCTGTGCTCTCCTCCTGTGTCTCATTCCCTCGTTATCTCTCTGTATTTAAGCCCTCTGTCTTCCTCTGTTTGTTGTCGGATCAGCTGTGTATCTCCTGCTGTATTTCGCCATATTCCAGGGTCCATGATCCTTGTCGCTGGTTTTCATGTGCCGTCCTCCACGTCTCAGGTCTTTGGTTTTTTTATACTTATTTTTGTAGTTGCTCCCAGTTTAGGTTTTGTTTAGTTCTTTGTCGCTTTCTGCTTTTGTTTGTATTCGTTTCCTGCTGTCATTAAAATACACTATCACTTTAAGGTCATCATCAGTGTCTATGTTGGTCGATACTCTCTTCACTCCTTGACAAATAGTTTATAATATGGTATGGGACAGTATGGTATTATGTAGTAGAACATGTTATGATATAAATTAACTATATCCTATTAAAATATCCTATTTAAGTCACTCTTTAATCATTGGTGTGGAATAAAAGTATATAATGTAATCAAGAAATATTTACAGCAATTGTGTGTTTAGTGAATATTTCAGTGGAAATATTCACTAAAGGGAAATTATTTCCGGTTAAGCTAGTGCGGTCGACCGTGCACGTTCGATGACACGTGAGGAAAAGTAGGAGTAGCCCTTTCTCACTGCAGGCTGTAAACATTCTTCTCTGTCTTATATAAGAGGTGTGTAGCACATTATTAAAAAGATGAATGCACATTTTAGAGTTGAGTAAAATAGCACAAAGACACTGGTCCACAGAGGTGTGGAAAACAAATTCAGTAATTATCCTTCAGCGCATACAGGTGGGAGGTGGAGTCTCAGTGGGGGGCATTGTTTCTGTAGTTGTTCCTGCTTGCTGCAGACGTTGCTTCACCCTTCACCACCCTGACTGGAAACACATTCAGTACAGAAACGTTCAGATCGTGGAAGGTTTTTTCTGAAATGTGACACATTTACACATGAATGGATGGGAACACACACACACTTCTCCATCTGACTTGATGCTGGTGTCACTGGGAGACTTGCTTTCCTGCCAAGCTGCCGAGGCTGTCGTCTCCACAACACCTGGAGAAGCTTGGCAACTCCTGAAGCATTCTGTGTGCGTTTGTGGGGGTTTTTCTTCAAGGACTTTTTCAGTTCAGTTTGTTTTGTTTCTGCAAAGCAGATTTTGTGGGAGTTGCACAAAACCACATCAAATCAAGATATTAGCTTTATTTCTGAATGAAATTGAAAGTTGAGTGGCGTGGCCCGAGGATTTGGGGGAATTAGAAAGTGTTTTTATTCACTTCAACTCGGCTTCATCTCAAAGTTTATTCACTACTTGTTTCCAAATTTCTTTCTGAAGACTTTAACTCTGCGCAAACTTCTTTAATTTTCTCAGCTTAACAAATGTTTGTG